TAGTAGCACCACCACCCGAACGCTATCAGACAATCAAAATTTAGTAAAAAATAAAAAAAAAATTTATTTCTTTAATATTTAATGGTTCTATGCATCTGAAAATCACCTGAGTTCTAGTAGGCACTGAGCCCTAGCCAATCCTGAAGAATAGCGAATTTTTAAAATATTTTTAAGTAGTAGCACCACCACCCGAACGCTATCAGACAATCAAAATTTAGTAAAAAATAAAAAAAAAATTTATTTTTTTAATATTTAATGGTTCTATGCATCTGAAAATCACCTGAGTTCTAGTAGGCACTGAGCCCTAGCCAATCCTGAAAAATAGCGAATTTTTAAAATATTTTTAAGTAGTAGCACCACCACCCGAACGCTATCAGACAATCAAAATTTAGTAAAAAATAAAAAAAAAATTTATTTCTTTAATATTTAATGATTTTATTCATCTGAAAATCACCTGACTTATAGTAGGCACTGAGCCCTAGCCAATTCTGAAGAATAGAGAATTTTTAAAATATTTTTAAGTAGTAGCACCACCACCCGAACGCTATCAGACAATCAAAATTTAGTAAAAAAAAAAAAAATTTATTTCTTATAAATTTAATAATTCGAATTATCTAAAAATCACCTGAGTTGTAGTAGGGACTGAACCCTACACAATCCTGATGAATAGAAAATTTTCTTTCAATTTTTTAGTATTAGCAGGTCCACCCGTACGCCATCAGACAAACAAAATTTGGTAAAAATGTAATTAAAAATTTATTTCTTCCAAATTTAAGAATTCTAATCATCTGAAAATCACCTGAGTTCTAGTAGGCACTGAGCCCTAGCCAATCCTAAAGAATAGCGAATTTTTAAAATATTTTTAAGTAGTAGCACCACCACCCGAACGCTATCAGACAATCAAAATTTAGTAAAAAATAAAAAAAAAATTTATTTCTTTAATATTTAATGATTATATGCATTTGAAAATCACCTGAGTTCTAGTTGGCACTGAGCCCTAGCCAATTCTGAAGAATAGAGAATTTTTAAAATATTTTTAAGTAGTAGCACCACCACCCGAACGCTATCAGACAATCAAAATTTAGTAAAAAATAAGGAAAAATTTATTTCTTTAATAGTTAATGATTCTATTCATCTGAAAATCACCTGAGTTCTAGTAGGCACTGAGCCCTAGCCAATCCTGAAGAATAGCGAAGTTTTAAAATATTTTTAAGTAGTAGCACCACCACCCGAACGCTATCAGACAATCAAAATTTAGTAAAAAATAAAGAAAAAATTTATTTCTTTAATAGTTAATGATTCTATTTATCTGAAAATCACCTGAGTTCTAGTAGGCACTGAGCCCTAGCGAATCCTGAAGAATAGCGAATTTTTAAAATATTTTTAAGTAGTAGCACCACCACCCGAACGCTATCAGACAATCAAAATTTAGTAAAAAATAAAAAAAAAATTTATTTCTTTAATATTTAATGATTTTATTCATCTGAAAATCACCTGAGTTATAGTAGGCACTGAGCCCTAGCCAATCCTGAAGAGTAGCGAATTTTTAAAATATTTTTAAGTAGTAGCACCACCACCCGAACGCTATCAGACAATCAAAATTTAGTAAAAAAAAAAAAAAAAATTTATTTCTTTAATATTTAATGATTCTATGCATCTGAAAATCACCTGAGTTCTAGTAGGCACTGAGCCCTAGCGAATCCTGAAGAATAGCGAAGTTTTAAAATATTTTTAAGTAGTAGCACCACCACCCGAACGCTATCAGACAATCAAAATTTAGTAAAAAATAAAGAAAAAATTTATTTCTTTAATAGTTAATGATTCTATTTATCTGAAAATCACCTGAGTTCTAGTAGGCACTGAGCCCTAGCCAATCCTGAAGAATAGCGAAGTTTTAAAATATTTTTAAGTAGTAGCACCACCACCCGAACGCTATCAGACAATCCAAATTTACTAAAAAAAAAAAAATTTATTTCTTATAAATTTAATAATTCGAATTATCTAAAAATCACCTGAGTTGTAGTAGGGACTGAACCCTACACAATCCTGATGAATAGAAAATTTTCTTTCAATTTTTTAGTATTAGCAGGTCCACCCGTACGCCATCAGACAAACAAAATTTGGTAAAAATGTAATTAAAAATTTATTTCTTCCAAATTTAAGAATTCTAATCATCTGAAAATCACCTGAGTTCTAGTAGGCACTGAGCCCTAGCCAATCCTGAAGAATAGCGAAGTTTTAAAATATTTTTAAGTAGTAGCACCACCACCCGAACGCTATCAGACAATCAAAATTTAGTAAAAAATAAAAAAAAAATTTATTTCTTTAATATTTAATGATTCTATGCATCTGAAAATCACCTGAGTTCTAGTAGGCACTGAGCCCTAGCCAATCCTGAAGAATAGCGAATTTTTAAAATATTTTTAAGTAGTAGCACCACCACTCGAACGCTATCAGACAATCAAAATTTAGTAAAAAAAAAAAATTTATTTCTTTAATATTAAATGATTCTATGCATCTGAAAATCACCTGAGTTCTAGTAGGCACTGAGCCCTAGCCAATCCTGAAGAATAGCGAATTTTTAAAATATTTTTAAGTAGTAGCACCACCACCCGAACGCTATCAGACAACCAAAATTTAGTAAAAAATAAAAAAAAAATTTATTTCTTTAATATTTAATGATTCTATGCATCTGAAAATCACCTGAGTTCTAGTAGGCACTGAGCCCTAGCCAATCCTGAAGAATAGCGAATTTTTAAAATATTTTTAAGTAGTAGCACCACCACCCGAACGCTATCAGACAACCAAAATTTAGTAAAAAATAAAAAAAAAATTTATTTCTGTAATATTTAATGATTCTATGCATCTGAAAATCACCTGAGTTCTAGTAGGCACTGAGCCCTAGCCAATCCTGAAGAATAGCAAAGTTTTAAAATATTTTTAAGTAGTAGCACCACCACCCGAACGCTATCAGACAATCAAAATTTAGTAAAAAATAAAGAAAAAATTTATTTCTTTAATAGTTAATGATTCTATTCATCTGAAAATCACCTGAGTTCTAGTAGGCACTGAGCCCTAGCCAATCCTGAAGAATAGCGAAGTTTTAAAATATTTTTAAGTAGTAGCACCACCACCCGAACGCTATCAGACAATCAAAATTTAGTAAAAAATAAAAAAAAAATTTATTTTTTTAATATTTAATGATTCTATGCATCTGAAAATCACCTGAGTTTTAGTAGGCACTGAGCCCTAGCCAATCCTGAAGAATAGCGAATTTTTAAAATATTTTTAAGTAGTAGCACCACCACCCGAACGCTATCAGACAACCAAAATTTAGTAAAAAATAAAAAAAAATTTATTTCTTTAATATTTAATGATTCTATGCATCTGAAAATCACCTGAGTTCTAGTAGGCACTGAGCCCTAGCCAATCCTGAAGAATAGCGAATTTTTAAAATATTTTTAAGTAGTAGCACCACCACCCGAACGCTATCAGACAATCAAAATTTAGTAAAAAATAAAGAAAAAATTTATTTCTTTAATATTTAATGATTCTATGCATCTGAAAATCACCTGAGTTCTAGTAGGCACTAAGCCCTAGCCAATCCTGAAGAGTAGCGAATTTTTAAAATATTTTTAAGTAGTAGCACCCTCGTCCAAACACCATCAGACAATTAAAATTTTGGGAAAAAGGCATTAAAAATTTATTTCTTTAAAATTCAAAAATTCAATGCTAATTATAAATATGAGAAAAACATTTTAAATTCAGATTTTATAGCGTGAAATGTAAATATGTAATTTTTTCACCCCGTTCTACTCTAATAGTATTGTAATCATTGTAATAATTTTTTTTTTAAATTTGACTTTTTATTGTTATAATATTGTAATTATTGTTATTATTAGTTCTGTAACAATTGATTATTAATTAATTATTCATTGTAATTATTAAATGTTGAATTAAATTTGTTATTAAAATATTACATAAATAAATTATTATTGTTTTTAAAAATTGTGTAATTATTATGTTAAATATTTTAAAATATATGTTTCTTATATAAAACTTAAACATAATCTGAATAAACAGTATTTTCAAAATTTTTAATTGTATTTTATATTCTAAAAAGCATGTTATTTTTTGTATTTTTATTTTTAGAGTAATATAAAACTATACATAGATTATTTAAAAATAATAGTATAATTTCCAATAATGTATTTTTTTGGGATAAAAATTTAGAAAATAATTGAATTTTTCAAAAATTTAGAGCAGAATTAGAATAAAAATAAATATTTTTGATTGAAATGAGGAAAGAGTCAGGGAAATACTGAATCAAATTTTTGTGAATCGACTAAAAGAATTTTTTTTATTCGTTGAAATTAATTTTCGATAGCTACTTTTCTACTACTTTTTCGGTATTTAGGCTGCTTTTTGATACTCTTTTAACATTAATTATTGAGTGTGAAGCCTGTAAATACTAATTATTAATTTAATAATATTTTATTTAAAATAATGGCAACACTTATTTCAAACTAATTAATATTTTTTAATAGAATTGTATCAACCCTAAATCTCAACCATTTTACATATTTCGTTAGACAACATTATGCTTCTAGTTCTAAATTATGAATTATTATATTTTAATATATATTTTCTTAATTCAATACAAAAATTATTGCTTAAAAAAAATTGAATTCAATAGCATTGGCTCTATTGGGCCAAATGTTTTTTTCTCAGTGTAGTGGATCAAAAATTCTTGATTTTTTTGATTATCAATTAATTAATAATGATAATGATAACATTAGCATATTAAAAAATTGAAAATTGTTGTATATATATATATTAATATTAAATTTCTTTACAGTGGCAGAAGAATATTCAATAATGAATTAAAAATTGCATCATAATCGATGATTATCATTTTTTGTGAATAGGGTGATAATAAATATTTTTTTGATTAATTTTCTCTTTGTCGGTATTTAAAAGTAAAGACTTGAAACACGCACCTGATACGCCAGTGCATTCATGATAATACTGTAGGGCACTAGTGAAAGAGGATGAACTTCTCTCATTAAAACATTTGCTGGAATCTTGTGGAACTGGATATAATCAAGAAAGTTTCCAATAACGTCCTTGAGAGGTGTGTTATGATTACCATCGCAGTACTTCTTGCTCCACATTAACGCTGCCTGTGATAAGATAAGAAAAATTAAGGAATCCCGAGAAATAGAAAATAATTCCGAGTTAGATAATCAATTTTACATATCTACATATTACATACGGCTACTGATTCTCCACGCGCGAAGTGGTAACTTTTAACTACCGTAACTTTTTTAAAAATTAAATTCATTTTTTAAAAATTTGCTATGCAGATCTTTTTAATAAAGTTTGAAAATAATATTATTTTGTTTTCTGAATTAAAACAAGTTACTAAATTGTATTTGTCTTACATTATTTTTAATTTTAATTATTTTCTGAATGGAATAAAGAAAAACAGGATTAAAATAGATTTTGTGTAAAGTAAACGACATTAAAGTATTGAACTTGATTTTTGAGAGGAGAATCAAAAAAGTACATTTTTGATTAATTATGCAAAAGTTTGAAGCAGATTTGAAAATAATGTTATAGTCATTAAATAGAAAACAGGGAATCAAAAATTATCACTAAGTGAAGTACCCATGTACAGTTCAAATCGCGCAAAAACATTAATTAATCGTTATAAAAACAAAAAATAATCACATTATAAATCTTGCTTTACAAAATAAAAATAACAAATTACCTGAAATTTTGTGAATTCGTCAGCTCTTAGGTCTTCTCTGGCTAAGATTAATCGCACCACATGTTGAGGTAATAACGTAAATGATCCTAAATTAAGAACATCATTGCCATGTTCGTCAACAAATTCCAAGACCTAAAAAAACGAATTTATTTTCTTTAAAAAAAAATTGCATATAAATCAACTTGTATATAATTGTAAGCATTTATTTAAAATCAAGCTTAATTTTTTAAAGAAGAAAGAAAAAAAGAAGAAGAAGAATTTCTTACCTTCTGCACAAGGGATTTGGTACACTTGTATTGAATGTAACGTTCAGCAGATGCTAAAAGTGCACAAACTGTATCAACAGTAATGCAGCATTGTACAAAACCTGCACAAGCTCGTCTAAGTTCATCAAGTCCATAGTAATCAGCAGCATTCATTACCCCTTTAAGGAATAGAAAATAACTTTTATTACATTTTGAGAAATGTCACTTGTAACTTTTTTTAAGCTTACACCCAGAGAAGAATTTTATTTAAACCAAATATATTTTATTTTTTATACGAGTTAAATAAACGTATATTTGTCCCAGAACCAACTGAACTTCTTATTTCTTTCAAATAAAAATTTTATTCGACATAAATAAAACATATATTTGATAATATAAATAATAAATAAAATAAAAATAAAACAATAAAATAAAATTTTATTTAAACCACAATAAAATTTATTTGAGACAAATAAAAAGTCTAGTTGGTTCTTTGTCAAATGTATCCTTTCTCTGGGTGTAATATAACTAAACTTTCAGTACTAGTTGAAAATTTGAAAATGAAAATTAAATTACGATTTTATAGCTCATAAAAATTTAAAAAGTGTCTTTTTGCTCCACACTTCACTCTAATATATAAATAATATTAACTTTGAATAATAATACAGGGTTGCCACTATTTGTCAATTACAAATTTTAATTGAAAATGAAATTGAAACAAATTTTTAGAAAATAAGAAAAAAAAATTTACTAAAAAAAATGTTCTGTTACATTTATTTACGAATTTATTTTAAATTATTCGAAAACATTAATAACTTCTTTTTTAAATAAATATTTATTATTATTTTTCAGTAGAAATTAAAATTCTTCAAAACATTCAAATTCAAACCTTTTTGAAATTAAACAACTTATAAAAAATTGTTATAAAACATGAAGAAATCGATCACTCCGAGTCTTCGACTCGGAGCAATCGATATCTTCATGTTATATAATAATTAAAAATGACCGACTGATAAAATCATTGTTTTATATTATAAGAATATTGTTACTGTAACTTATTCAAAATTACTTTCATCACTTTAATTCCTGCTTTAATTCAATTATTGTTTTCCGGAAATTTTAACTAAAATTCTTCTTTAAATTAATTATTTTTAATAATTTTTGAAAAATTTCTTTGAAAATTTTTTTCTTTCGAAAAATAATTGCATTTCTGTAGAAAATTTGATTCAATTGAGAATTTTATTAAAATTTTTTTAAATAATTAAATTTTGGAGATATATTTTATTATTTATAGAGATAATCGAAATTTTGAAGAGAATTCTATTAGAACTTTTGATAATAATTGAATGTCTGTGTAATTTATTAAATTTTTTTGAAAATAATTGAATTCTTGGAAAGATTTTATTAGAATTTTTTAAAATAATTGAATTTCCCAGAAGAAATTTATTTCTTTTACAAATAATATTGAATTCTTGTGATGAATATTGTTATTTATGAAAATAATTGAATTTTGCAAAGAATTTTATTAAAATGCCTCAAAATAGTTGAATTTTCAGGAATAATTTTATTATTTATCTTTAATAATTAAATTCTTTCAAAGAATTATTTATGTAAATAATTGAATTTTTGTGAAAAGTTTTATTAAAATCAAAAAGAATAATGTATTTAAAATAATTGATTTCTTTCAAAAAATTTTATTAAAATATTTGAAAATGAATTTTAAAAAAATATTTTTTTAAATAATTCACTTTTTTGTGGAATTGAAATTAAATTTTTATGAACAATTACATTTTTAGAGCAATTCCTGTAAAATTGTTTAAAAAATAATTGAATTATTGAGAAGAATTTTATTAAAATTTTTAAAAATAATTGAATTCCTGAGAAGAATTTTATTATTTATAAAAATAATTGAATAATTGCGAAAAATTTTATTAAAATGTTTAAAAAGAATTTAATTTTTGTGAGAAATTTTTGTTATTTTTGAAAATAATTGAATTTTTTATAAGAATTTTATAATTATTGTTTTAGATATTTGGTTTTTTTGAAACATAATAAATATTATGAAAATTTTATTTTAAATAATTGAATTCTTGTGGAAAATTTTAATTTGTGATAATAATTGAAATTTTCTTTTAAATAATTTAAAATAGAATTGAAAATAATTGAATTCTTATTTAGAAAGATACTCAGAAAGTTTCTTATTTGGGAAAGATTTTATTAGAATTTTTCAAAATAATTGACTTTCCAAGAAGAAATTTATTACTTTTACAAATAATTGAATTCTTGTGATGAATATTGTTATTTATGAAAATAATTGAAATTTTGACAAGAATTTTTTTAAAAATTTTGAAAATAATTGAATTTTTAAGAAAAATTTTATTACTTTTGAAAATAATTGAAATTTTGAAGAGAATTTTTTGAAACTTTTGACCATAATTGAATTTCTGCGAAGAATTTTATTATTTATAAAAATAATTGAATTCTTTTTCCAGCTTTTTTCAAGGTTTATAAAATTCCTTGAATTTTGCAGTGAATAATAAAAAAAATAATAATAATAGTATTATTATTAATATTTGCTAAGAAATAACCATTTTTCATTATCATTTCAAATTTTAATATATATACATATGTTTACCAAGCAAAGTTCTAGGTTGAAGTGTAACACAACCAGTGTGAATATATTCAATCAGTTGGCGAAAAACATCTGGCTCAAATTCTTCAATGATCAAAGTTTGATGCTGAAATCCTTGAGGCTGCGAATAAATGAGAAATGAGAGAAAATTAATAATAGTTATTAAAAATAAAAGTGACATTGATGATTAAAATGTTTCATGAAAGTGCTATAGATTAGGATTATTTTTATTCAGAACAATATTTTTTTGGAAAACTAATTACTAATTAGTAATTGTAATACACTTTATATTTAATGTTCGTATTTCACTATTATTACATATTATATAAATCCCTGTATAAAATTTTGAAAAGTTACATGAACAAAATTTAATTCTTTTCGAGAATTTCAAATCTTATTTATAAATTTTATTAATATTATTAATAAATAGTAAATATTACTAATATTATTAATAAATAATTAATAATAAATAATAAATATTACTAATATTATTAATAAATAATAAATATTATTAATATTATTAATAAATATTATTTATTATTAAATAATATTGCGCTAGGTAGTAATAAATTATTGAGTTTAAAATTGATTAACCAATTTTGAAGCTTTATGAATAAAAGTCAAAGGCGTAAATTACGTTTTTTGATTTTCGTTCCAGTCTGTAATTTTTAATGCAATATTTATAATTTTTGAAAATAAAATAACGAACTATTTGTTCCTCCACTATGAATACGAGCTTGAAATTTTGATTGCATGTGATTTCATTCGAGAAATATACCGAACTGTAATGAAGTAAAATTAATCCCAAAAATGCTACAGAGCAGAATTTTAATACACTTTTGAAAAAGCTTCGAAAAATGTGTTTTTCAGTATTATATAAACAAAAAATGAATAAGCCATGAATATTCCTTCGTTAGAATTTTGAAAATTAATGTACTTATTCATTTTCACAAAAAGTCGACAAAAAGCTGCTTCTGACTTTTCAAAAATTATAACAGTGATAAAATTTTTTTTTTAATGCAAAGCAGATTTTGTGAATATATAATATTGTTTGCTCTTCTATTTTATAACTTCGGCCAGAAAGGTGCATAAAATTTGAGTTAAATACATAAATAGCAAAAAATTAAGGAAAAAAATTCGTCAGCAGAAGGTGAAGTAGGATATATGCATAGAGTACGTCTAAGTAGTAAAAGAGTGTTATTGTCAGACCGAAAAAACTCCCTAGATAGAGAAGAAATCTACTTTTATGGGGTAGAGAATTTGAAATTAATTATTTGCTAATTATTTTTTTTTGTAATTTTCTACAAAACATTGAAAAAAGAGTTTGGTTTTGATAACGAAAAAATTTGGTTCATAATCAAGAAGCGAATAAAATTATTGTGTCAGTATTTTATCTTCTTGCTAAATTTTTTTGATTTTTGACGTTTTCAATAATTTTTGAAAATATATCGAAAAAATAATCCGCTCATTATGTGAACGTTCAAAAAATTTTATGAACTGAAATTTTGATTCTCCGAACCAAAAGATTTTTGTTAAAAAAATCGAACTCTTTTTTTTGTCAGTAAAATAATGAAACTTTTATAATAAAAGAATTCTGGTAAGCTATTTATAAATTATAACCATTTTTATTTATCTCGCTACTTGTTATATACCCAATATTTACAAACTGATTGTGCAACATATAAGAATTGGTCTATAGATAATGCAGTGCAATGCAGTGCAGTGCAAAAGCGGAGAAATTCTTTATTTCTTTTTTTTTAAATTTTTTTGGAAAAAAACTTCCATCTTCATTACACAGAAATCACATACATAGAAAATACCTCTTGAATGGGAGCCAACTGCTGCGTGAAGCCTGATCGCTATACACGACACATAACAGAGATACACACTTACTATTTCTATCATTACAATATCCTAAACATTAATTAATTATTTAATATATGAGGGTTTGAGTTTGTAATTTTCCACCTTCATACTCCAAAATAAAAAGTAATTCAATTAAAAAATATTTTTTTCGAAGCAGAAAAAAAGTACTTCCTTCATCAAATACTTTCTCCTTGAAACAAATTTTAAAAAAAAGTTTTAAAACTTCAAAATAAATTTAAATATTTTAAAAATCTAATATTGTTGAGAATTTTATAGAAAATTTTTCAAAAATTATATTTAGACAAAAAAATTTGAATTAAGTAAATAATAACAAATTTTAATTGTAACTCTTTGAAAATTAAATTATTTTACTTTGGAATATCCTCACTTTGGAATATTAACAAAACATGAATAGATTCAATTTTTTACTCTTTCTTTCAATTCAAAAATTCAATTATTTATCAATTATTAAAAATTCTTTGAAAAAGTTAGATTACAAAAAAGTTTAATTACAAAAAAAACACTTTAAAAAGAAAAGTAATTTAATCAAAAAAAATACTTTTCTTGAAGCAAATTATTAAAAATTTTTTTAAAAAGTTAGATTTCAAAAAAGTTTAATTACAAAAATACACTCTAAAAAGAAAAGTAATTCAATAAAAAAAATACTTTTCTTGAAGCAAAAAGAAGTACTTCCTTTATCAAATACTTTCCCTTTGGAACAAATTTAAAAATAGAAATTTAGTTAGAAAATACTTTTTCTTTGGAACAAATTTAAAAAAAGTAATTTAGTTAGAAAATACTTTTTCTTTAAAGCAAATTAAAAATGTACTTCAATTAGAAAATACTTTTTTTCTTTAGAGCAAATGCAAAAAATAGTAATTTAATTAGAAATCCTCTTTTTTTTTTGGAGCAAAGGGGTGATTTAAAAAATACCTAATACTTTTATGGGGACGGATAAGAAGGGGTCAAGCTTTTTCTTTCAACTATCAGCAGAAAAAATTTGCGCTAATATTTGCAATGGTGCAATGGTTACAAGGTGAGGGAGGTTTTGGGGGTTAAAAGTTACAAAATAGCGTTACGTATTTTTTAAATGAACCCCAAATTGAGAAAAGTATTTCAAACCAGAAATACTCTTTTTTGGAGAAAAATGAAGTTAAGTAATTCAATTAGAAATATAAATTGAACAAATTTAAAAAAAGTAATTCAGTTAGAAATATTTTTTTTAGTATAAATTAAAAAAATAATTTAATTAGAAATACTTTTTCAGAAGCAAATTGAAAAAGTAATTCAATTAGAAAAACTTTTCTTTTGGGTGCAAATTAAAGAAAAGTATTTCAATTAAAAATACTTTCTTTGGATGCAAATGGAAAAAAAGTAATTCAATTAGAAATACTTTTTTTGGGTGCAAATTAATGAAAAGTATTTTAATTAAAAATACTTTTTCTGAAGCAAATTTAAAAAGTAATTTAATTAGAAATACTTTTTTTGGGTGCAATCAAAGAAAAGTATTTCAATTAAAAATACTTTCTTTGGTTGCAAATTGAAAAAAAGTAATTTAATTAGAAATACTTTTTTAAGTGACCTTATAGGGACATATGGTAAAATTTTTTGAAATATTCAAGTAAAACACAATTTGATAAACATAAGGTTAAGAACGATATTGAACGTAAACCAAATTATATAAAATTACAGGGATAAATTTTATTATAAGGAATAGAAAATTGGTATATATGTATATTTTTAGAAATTTCGATTTTCATTGACGCTACGCGGAATAGGACGCACTATACAATTTTTTTTTAAATAATATTTTCAAAACGTGCAAATCAAAATTATAATATAAAATATCAACAGTAATTGTATATTTAAAAATAAAATTAAAATATTTACAATAGTAAAAAAAGGGGTTTTCTTCAAAAAGCATATATACTCAGAAAAAGAGTTTATTTCACTTTTATCCAAAACTGCTGAGTTAAATTTTAACATTACAGAAAATTATTATAATTATTTCATTTTTTTTTATTGTGTATTGGTTTATTTATTTTTTATTTTATTTATTTACTCATTTTATTGGTTTACGAAAACACATTTTTTTGGTACAAATAAAACTTTGTTTTGTTTTAATCTTTTAATATAAATGCAATTAAATGAATAAAATATTTTTTGAGACAGAAAAAAATTTAATTGAATGCAAAAATTCACTGCAACCAAATAAATAAACCGAATAGTTTAATAATTATAATACTAAAATTTTACTGAAATCAAATACTTTCGTATTATTATTGAACTGTTTGGTTTTATTAGTATATTTGGTATTTACTGCATATATTAATATTTGGATTCAAATACTTTAGTTTTTTAAGTATTTACATTTTTTTACAGAAATACTTTAGTATTTTAAGTATTTTCATTTTTTTACAGAAATACTTTAGTATTTGAAGCCAAATACCAATATTAACTAAATACTAATTTTAGTAATTGAGATAGTATTTACTCATTAATTTTTAATTAGTATTCAACTACTAAAGTATTTGACACCAAATACTTCTAATAATTGAGTACTACATAAGAGTAAAAATAATAAATACCCAATTACAAAATTCGATTGAATTAAATAAAAAGTGTATTAAAATGTACATCAAGACATTTAGTTCTTTGAAATAAATTTTTTTCTGAGCTTAAAAAACTTGATAAATTTCATATTCTGATTTTTATTTATAATAAAATGAATAAAATATATACATATATACATTTTTAATATACATATAAATTAATACTCAAATATAAAATAAAAGAAAAGGGAAAAAATAAATTTATAAAGTTAATTAAATTACTACTAAGATGACATGCTCAATTACCTGTTGCGCAGCATTTTGTAAATTTAATAATGGTTCCGAACTTCTTTTCAAAAAGAGTCTAAGTTTATTTTCACGCGCCGGTGGATCTTTTTTCCGTTGTGGACTTGGCGCTTGATACAGCATTTTGTGAAAGACTCTGCGAAGAGTAAAAATTATTTTAAATTCAAAAAAAGAGAGACAAATATTAATCGCTTAGAAGGTGATTATAAGTGGAGCGAAAAAAATTTATATACAATATTTAAAAAAAAAGAAAAGAACGAAAATAAAAATAATGAAAAAAAAATAGAATATGTGACGCTCCACGAGAAAAGGGACCTTATCTATTCTTGTCATAAGGTCCCTTTTCTCGTGGAGCGTCACATATGATGAAAATAACCTGCTTCTAGCGGCCAATACTGCTTTTACAGCGCAAACTGGCTCTCGAGTGTCACCGACGAGAAATGTTACATCACAAAGTTCAGGCATACTTGCCAGGAACTTCATGTCATCAGCGAGACCGCTCTTATTCTCAAAAGTCGAGTAATCCGCCTCGTCGGCTACACCCGACCCCGAAGCCTCCGGCATCGAGCTTGCTGTGTCCTGAAATTCAATTTCGTTTCTTTTAGTTTCAATTTTATATTCATTTCTGTGTGGTGCTCTTTTTTCGAAAAAGAAAAAAAAATTTTTGCTATTTGTACTATTTGTATTTTACAAGCACCATTTAGTATTTATTTGCCTATAGTATTTATTTCATAACTGGAAATAAAAATAAATAGATAAAAAAATGATAAAGTACTTTTTCAATAAGTACTATTCAGTACCCTGAGAAATAAAAGTATTTCTTCAAGTAATACTTGAAGAAATAAGTAATAATTATAATAAAAAAGTAATACTTAAAATACTTTTAGTACTATTAAAAATAATATTTTCAGTGTTCTTAACTTTCATTTAATGTACTCTTATTACTATTTAAAATACTCTAAAATAGAATTTAAATAACTATTTAAAGTACTATATAAAATACTATTTAAAATACTATTAATTATCATTTAAGGTACTGTTAAGTACTATTTAAAATACTATTTAAATAACCGTTAAGTACTATTTAACATACTATTTAAAATACTATTTAAAGAACTTTTAAAATACTATTTAAAGTACTATTTAAAAATCCATTAAATACCATTAAAAGAACTATTGAAATACTATTTAAAATACTATTAATACAATTAAAAAAAACCATTTAAAGTACTATTTAAAATGCTATTTAAAGTAGTATTAAAAATGCTATTTAATATACTATTTAAAATACTATTTTACATTCTATTTAACATACTATTTAAAGTACTATTTAAAATACCATTTAAAATACTATTTAAAATTCCATTAAATACCATTAAAATACCATAAAAGAACTATTAAAATACTATTTAAAGTACTATGCAAAATACTATTCAAATTACTATTTAAAATACAATTAAAAATACTATTTAAAAACAATTAAGTACTATTTGAAAATGAAATGCTATTAAGTACTATTTAAAGTACTACCAAGTACTGTGTAAAATAATATTAAATAGTAACGTACTATTTAATATTTATTGTTCAAGTACTTTTTAGTATTTTATTATTATAATTATATTATAATTATTTTATAATTATTTTATAATTATTATTTAATACTACTACCCTGAAAAAAATTTATTTGATTCAAATAACCGATTACTTGTCTATTAAAAAATAAATATTTTCTAGAATCAAATAATTTTTCCATTAGGTGCTTTTTTAAAAATTTTACTTTTAATATACTCGATGTTGGCAAAAATTTATTACACCTTTTTTTCTCTACTTGTTTGTCCTTTATACCACACCCTGATAAAAAGGAGTATTTAATTTAAAGTAATTAATTGAAATTGAAGAAAAAACTTTTAATTTTAAGAATTTGTCCCCAAAGCGTTATTTTTTATCTTTAAATAATTTTTTTTAAACAAAAAAAGAACCAAAAAAATGTGGTTTGTTATTTACAGCAAAAGCAACACTGATGGTAATCAATAAAAGCTAATTGACAACTTGAATATTTATGAAATGAATTAATTTGTAAAATATGCTATTGAAATAAATCTAAAGAACATTTTTTTCTTATTTCAGTAAATTTAGTAATTAATTATCCTTTTTTTAAAAAAATTTCCGTGAAAAAAAAGTTTAAATGCAAGAAAAAAAATAATAATAATAATAATTTGATTATTTATTAAGTTTTATTGTTTGTAATTTCTTTTTCTTTCTGGGTCCATTGATAGTAAATAAACAACAATAATAAAAAATTAGTAGTAGTAGTAAAAAATATTAATAATACTAGTAGTGTTAGTAATAATAATAATAAAAATACTAGTAGTGGTGGTAGTAATAATAATAAAATAGTAGTAGCAGTAGTATTAAAAATAGTAATAATACTAGTATTGGTAGTAATAATAATAAAAGTACCAGTAGTGGTGGTAGTACTAATAATAATAATAATAATAAAAATAGTAGTATTAAAAATAGTAATAATAAAAATACTAGTAGTGGTGGTAGTACTAATAATAATAAAAATAGTAGTAAAAATAGTAATAATACTAGTATTGGTAGTAATAAAAATAAAAGTACTAGTAGTGGTGATAGTAGTAATAATAATAATATTAGTAGTAGTGGTGGTAGTAGGAGGAGTAGTAATAATGAAAATACTAGTAGTAGGGGTAGTAGAGGTAATAGTAATAAAAATAAAATTAGTGCTGGCAGTAGTAGGCCCTAGTAAAAATAGTAATAATACCAATAGAAGTGGTAGTAGTAATAAAAATAGTAATAATACTAGTAGTGCTGATAGTAGGGTAGAGTAGGGTGAAAAAGCCATGGTGTAAAAAAGCCATTTGAGTTTTATTTAAAAACTATTAAGCCGATTTATCAGCTGTTTAGAATATAAATACTATTAGGTAATACGCAACTTTTGAATCTAATTTGAATGTTGTACCTAGATTAATATTGTTTTTATTGTAATTTTAATTTTTTGTTGCTTTTTTGAAAACATTTTGGTGAACTTTTCAAGCATATAACATCTGATTAAGTGAACGAATAATAAAAGTAAATGTTTGTACATAAGGAGAAAAGTATACCGAAAACGTATACAATGTTAATTTTTGGAAATCGAACTGAATTAACAATTTATTTTTGCTTTTTTTAATAACTGGTCTTGGGTGTAAAAAAGCCAGGGCAAAAAATCCATTGAATATTTTGTGAAATTCACTTGTTTTCTATTTAAACTAACCTTCTTATTTTACAAAATTTCTCGTGTTTATTTAATAAAATAAATTAAACACGACGAAAAAGTAGTTCAAAGTGCATTTAAAAAATAAACAATGAATAAACGGTTGCAACGAAATATGTTATCTGTGGTGAAACTTAAAGAAAACTTCTAAAAAAGGTACGAAAAATTGGCAGTGCAAATCGAAAACAGGTAAACTTAATACAATTTTCAATTTTGCTTGCTAAAAACTCTTTCATAATTATTAAAATATTTTTCAAGTAAGACTATTTGTCATATAAATAAAGGAAAACTATAAATATACCTAAATTGATAACATGTTTTGCTAAAATCGTAGGGTGGCTTTTTCACCCCACCAGGTGGTGCAAAAAAGCCACTTGCAGTGCTTTCGTAAAACTCTTATAACTTAGTCCTTTCATGAGATAAAAAATATTTTCGTCAAGAATTTTCAAGCTTAATAACTAAACTTTCAATAACAATTGGAAATTTGAGAAAAAAATTTTAAATACAGATTTTACAGCATCAAAAGTAAAAATGTGGCTTTTTTACCCCACTCTACCCTATCAATAAAAATAATGATAATACTAGTAATAAAAGTAGAAGTAGTAGGAGGAGAAGTACGAATAGCAATAATAATAAAAATGATAATAGTATTAGAAGCAATAAAAGTAATAATAATAATAATAGTAGAAGTAGTAATAAAAATGATAAAAATAATAATAATCCACAATATTGTAAAAAGTAAATAGAAAGTATAAGTAACCAATTACCTGTTGCTCAGATCCCGGAGCCCCCTCGCTCGTCGGGCTGTTTTTACCCCGAAAAAACACTTTTACCTTACTTCTAATCGACTTTTAATACACATAATAACACGTCATCGATTTTTTAACAAACAATGCACATTTGCGTTACATATAGGACGGACAATTCAAGAATCAACGCTATCTTTTTATTCTCCTCTTTTTGATATAAACAGTGTACTATTTTTTTTTTTTTATGTATATATAAAAATATTCGTCTTTCAAAAAACGAAAAATTTATAATTCTTTGATTTCTTCTTGTTTTTGTAAATAAATATTATATATAGTAAATTTTATTTACGAAAGGTGAATTTTTTTGATTTTGATATAGAAAATTTTATATTTCTCTCAGTTAAAATTTCATTGATAAAGGGAAACGATTTTTATTTTATTTATTTATTTTTTTTTTTTTTTTTGGTTTAAAATTGAATTATTAATTGTTTCGTATCACTGCACTCCAAGATATTTTTTTTATGACTATCATTTTTAAATGAAAGAGAAAATACTAGTTTTATTTTGTGTTTTTTAATTAAGATTAAAACAATGATAGAAATTGGGTGCTTTCACTCAGAGCACTTGGGTTCGATAGAGCTTCCAACCCTTACTGGAATGATGAAAAATGCGCTTGCGTTAGGATACACCCGTTTCATTGCGCTTGTCCAAAACCCGGGGTATTTTAATCGAAACTTTTTCAAGGTAAACGATTAGAAGAAATCTGTAGTTTGTTAATTATGTAAGATTCTTTTTTTTTATCTTAAATTACTTAAATTACCTTCGAAGGTTTTCTTTTTCGAGAAACAATTAACGAGGATTTCGAAAAAAAAGTATTTATTTCATTATTTATTTACTTCATTTTTTTAATTTATTGAATTATATTATATTAAATTATTTAATTGTTTATTTACTCACTTATTAAATTATTTACGTTTTATTCTATTTATTTACGAATTTTATTATTCACATATTTTTAAAATTAATTTACTTATTTATTTACCTATTAATTTATTTACTTTCTTATTTATTTAAATTTTTTTTTATTTTTTTATTTATTTATTCACTTTTTTAATAATTTACATTTTTTTATTTATTTACCAATTAATTTATTTACTTTCTTATTTATTTAAATTTTTTTCTTTTTAATTTCTTATTTATTTATTCACTTCTTTAATAATTTACATTTTTTATTTATTTAACTGTTAATTAATTAATTTATTGAATTATTTACATTTTTTCCTATTTATTTTCTAAATTGTTTACTTGTCAATTTACTTGTTAATTTACTTATTTATTTATTTATTTCTTCACCTATTTATTTACATATTTTTTATTTATTTACTGATTTAATTACCTACGTTTTTTTACATTTATTTGCCGATTTAATTACCCACAATTTTTTTTATTTATTTTCTCAATTATTTATTTATTAGTTTAATAACTTATTTAATTATTTACATTTATTCATTTATTTACTTATGTATTTATTTACATATTTTTTATTTAATGCCTAAATATGTAGAAAAATAAACAAACGTAAAAATTACAAATAAGTTTGTTTAACCGTGTTATTTAGAATTTTGTAGATATTTTTCTGATTTTGCATCAATTATTTTCGAAAATTCGGAGTTAAATAAATAAATAAATAAAATAAAAAATTATAGAGTAAAGAAAAATTCACATATATTTTTCTTTGGTCTTTTGTTTATTGTGTTAAAAAATAACACGTCTTCAAAATAAAATACCCCTTGATTATTTTATAAGAAAAAATATTGATTCGGGTAAATGAAATTTCTTCATTCACAAAAATATTTTCGACGAAAGCAACTAGGGAAAAATTTATTTTTCATATTAGGTGGAAATTTTTTTTTCTTATTTCCTCTTTTTGTTCAGAAAAGGGAAAATTAAATTAAAAATATAAAATACTTGAGAGCAAAAAATATATAACTGAAAGAAAATTTTCACCCGAAAATTTTATTGTGATTTGTGAAGTAAAACCTCATATCTTTTTATCGTAGAAAACACTTGTAGGGTTGAAATTGAACGCGTGCGCGAGAATAACGAATTTCGTTTTTACAGTATCTTCCCATTTTCTAAGATGAAATACTCGCTTGCTAAAATGCTTACATTTTTGTAATATTTTTACAATTTTACTATATATTTCGTTTCTTTTTTGCAATTTCAATGTAACAATAATTGTAAATACATTTTATTTTTATTGATTTTTTTCTTTTGATGAAATTTCGAAATTATTTTTAAAATAAATTATACAAAATAAACAGAGCAAACAGTGACAAATGTTACTTTTTGTTTTCTATTTTCTATTTTTTTCTTTGATGAAATGAAATTATTTTCGAAACAAGTGTTAACAATGTATTTTATTTTATTTTCCAGTTCTAATTTTTTTCTTTACTGAAATTTAAAAGTTATTATTAATAAAGTAAACAATAAAAAATGTCTCTTCTTATTTTCTCTTCCTTTGAGAAAATTTGGAATTTATGTTTGAAACAATTGTTAATAAAGTAAACAGTAAAAAATATCAGTTTTCATTTTCTCTTCTGAGAAAATTTTAAAATTATTTCGAAACAAATATTAACAAAGTATTTTCTTTATTTTATTCTCATTTTATTTATTTTGTTTTCCATTTTTAATTTTTTCTTTTGATAAAATTTTTATATTTAGAAAAGAAACGTTGCGAAAGTAAAAAATAATGCTGTTTATTTTTACATTTTTTTCTACGATGAAAATTTGAAAATATTTTTCGAAACAAATGTTTTATTTTTTACTTTGATAAAATTTGAAACAAATGTTAACAAGGATGAGAAAGTAAACAGTAACAAAATATCGCTATTTATGTTTATTTCCTTTGATAAAATTTTTGAAATTCTTTTCAAAAACAAATAGAAATGCGAATTTCCGAAAATTGATAACTGAAGAAGTACTTAAATTTAAATTGGAAGAAGAAAATACGAAATATCAAGTCATAACATAAAACAACATCGATTTATTAAACACAAATGCTTGCACGTTATCATAGAAGTTTGTAGTAATTATAATAATGATAATTATACTTATGTATATGTATATATGTACATAAAATAAGGCACATTTGATATTACATTAATAATCAAAACGCGACGCTATTCTCGTTGCGCTGTCTTAAGATATGCTACATTTTTTTTTCCTTTTTAGAAAATGTTTCGCATCACTAGAAATAATACGTCTAAGTATATAAATCTCTCTCTCCATTAGTCCCCCTTATATGATAAATGCTTATTTGTAGCTTCAAGAAATATCAATTTTGCAATAAAACAAAAAAAAAATATTGAAACACTATTCAATTAGCAATCAATTGTTAATTACAAATAAGTATCATTCAGACTGTTCACCACTTTTTCACGAAAAAAAAAATTTCACATATTTTAATATTTAAAATAAAATAACTATTATTATTATAATAATAATATAATAATATAATATAATATTATTATAATATATATTCCTATGCGTACTATATAATTGTTTATTATATAATTATATATTGTACAATTATTTAATATAAAATTATATATTGTACAATTATTTATTATATAATTATGTGTAATAACATATTTATAATAATAAATAATATAATAATCAACAACTTGAATAAAAAAATCACTATTATTAAAAACGCACCTATTAAAACATTCTTCGCAGTTTCTTATTTTCCTTTTTTTCATTTCATTCACGCTATAAATCGTTTTAAATAGATTTCATATGATATATATTCATGTTCTGCATTACATTCGCAGAACATGTTAAACTGGCACGTATTCAAAAGTTGGTTGCAGTCATTTACATGTATACATGTATTTATATCTTACAATTGAACAAGAATTAAATATAAATATGTAAAAAATAATTTTAATGACTGATCGTTGAACGAATTGAAAACGAGAATAATAGTTTGAACACTCTTTTTCTTTTAAATACGAAAGAAATTTTCTTTCAAAATATTTCTAATTGAACAAATTTTTTTTAACTTCAACAAAATTTTTTTTTAACTTTAATATTTTTTTACAACAAAAATTTTCCACTGGAAAAAAATTTTTCTAATGGAAAAAAATTTTTTCACTTGTAACAAAAATTTTCCAGGGAAAAAAAATTCTCATAGTTGGAAAAAATATTTTTCTTTGAAGCAACATTCAATACAAATCCTTCTGGAGTAATTCCATAATATCACTTTATCTTCATTTCTCGATTTTATAACACACATTTTTTTAATCGTAATACTTAGCTATTTACTTTGAGCTATTCTTCACAAGAAACGAATTCTCTCTTTTATTCTAATTTCCTTTAAACGAAATAAGATATATCTACAAAATGACACTTTCATTTCAATACAATATTCACTTGCAATTTTTGATTTTTCTTTTGTTATCATTCTTACATACATTTCTTCGTAAAGTATAATATTTAATCTTTCTGTATCTTATTTTCTTTTACATTTTTTCGTCTTCTTTCTTTATTTTTTATTTTATTTCTTTCTTATTTTTTCTTTTCTTTTTTATTTTTTCGTCTTATTTTTTTCCATCGTTTTTTAACACATATTTTTTCCATAATTTGTTATCTTATTGTTTTTAAATCCTTTTTTTATATTTTTTCGTCTTATTTTTTGTCTTTATTTTATCTTATTTTTTTATTTCTTAATCTCATTTTTCTATAGAAAGAAATGAAAAAATTAATTAACAATTATTTCCAGACGAAGATTTTTAACAAATAATTTTTGCCATATTCATTTCGTAGAATAATTGGTACACTTACAAGATTTACGCGAACGTTGCATACAATTCCAATCATTAAATACAGTTTATTTGATTTGGCAGCATATAAAAACGTTTTAGGCGAATTTTTTTCCTTTCGTAACAAAATTTCACAGGGGAAAAAATTAAATTTATTCTAAATGCTGTCACTGTAAGAATTTTTTTTTTGTAAACTCTTTTTTACGCCTAAAAAATAAAATTTCTATATTTATTTATTAAAAAATTATAATCAGAAATTTTGTTTTATTTATTAAAGAAAAGGAGAAAATAATAGAAAAAGAAAAAAGAAGAAAAAGAAAAAAAAGAAGAAAAATTGAAAAAGAAAAGAGAAGTAATAGAAAAGAAGAAAACGTTATATGTAAAAATTAACACAGTGCAAAGTAGAGGAAAAAAAAGTGAGTTAATGACGAAAGTTTTATTTTTAAAGGGAAAAAAGTACGAGACAGCTTGACAGTTAGTAAAAGTGTACCGAATGTTTTTCCAAACTTTTTAAAAAGTATTTCAAAGAACAGGATACTTGAAAAACTAACAAAAGACGAGGATAAAGTAGTATAAACATTCCTAATTACTTAAAAATTAAATCAGACAGAGAACAAAAATGCGAATTACTATCTAATTTGATTATAGAAAATGTTAATATCACAACAACAGCATTTATAAATATTTTTTTTACGTTTTTCCTTTACAATCATGCGATTTCAACTGAATCTAATTCAGTACTAAAAATTTTTTTAATTAAATTTGTTCCTCTCATAGATTTACATATTTTTTTCGTTTACTAATTTACTCTTTTTTTCTCTCCTATCTTATAATTGATTAGCAACATTTACATGAACTGGCATAATTCGTATTTTTATATTTTACATGAATGTACAAAGTCTGACATCAGAATACAAACATATATTTTTTTGTTTTGAAATTAAAAAACGTCTTAGAGAATAAAATCTTATCGAAGAAATTACAATTATAATGGAAGCAAATTTTTAATTATAATAAAAGAAATACTTGATTATTTAGGAATGTTAGAGTTCTATTATAAAATAACAAAAATTGATTATAAAATTTAAAAATTCAAAACTTTTTTCGGATTTAAAATCCACAATGGTAAAGTTTGAAAAAATAATTTGTAAGAAAAAAAATGTCGCATGGCATGGAAGTCCTTCTTTTTTCAAAAGAAAAATTTTCAATTCTAGGAAATTAAAGTCTAGGGAAAAAATCACCAGCATTAACAACAAGAGAAATATTCTCAATTTGATGTGTTACAGTCAGTGTTGAAATGTACAATTTTTTTAATTTTCTATGTATATATAAATATATCAGTCTCTATCCTTCAAATTCTTTGAACATTTAAATTTTGAATATTTAGATTTAAAAGGAAATATTGAAGGAAAGACTGTAATTATTGAAGAAACGAGATTCGTTTGAAAAAAAAATTTGATCTGTTTCTTTCTGGGGGAAAAAATAGATCAACGGAAGAAAGTTTGTCCAATTTCTCCATTATACACAAACACACTATCACTAATTTACAATGGACAATAGCCATTTTTTTTTAAAGTCTTAATAATTTAAAAATAAAATTAATAAAATAATAAAGGAAAACACATTGAGAAACAAGGCTTTAAGACGACATTTGAACGCTATTTTTTATCACTCTACAATTATATAAATATCCGTCTAATTTGCCATTTTTTTTCGTCATTATTTATAATAAAATAATGAGATTTCCCTATGACGTAGTCTAAAATCTATAAAAATGTTTCATTGTCGTCTGGAAGCGAAATTTCTACAATTTTGGTAGCTGCGGTCTATCTGCCAAAACGTGTCCTAGCGACCGAATAACGATGTCCAGATATAAAAAATCCAGCAGATTCTGAACCGTGACCAGATCTTGATTTGTGGCGAGAAAATACTCGATATCACAACTTTAGAGGATCGTAATTTTCAAATGACCACCTCTGCCTCGCTGAAGACGGCGTGCATTCCTCCATTAAAAGACGCTGTTTACTTTCCGTAATTGCCAGACATTTATCACTGCTGCCATGCTTGATTTGCTTGGTCTGCAAGAAATTCAAAATTATAATTAGAAAACATTCTTTTTTAATAAGAGACATTTTTTTCACTATTTTCTATTTTCAAGAAATGCGAATTTTTTTTATTTATTTCAGTAATTAATTATTAATTATTAATTAACTATAATAATCGTCTTATCCTTTCTTTCATTCTGTCCGCAGTTTAAAGTAAATTTTTGTGCATACTTTTTTTTTCTTTTTTCAAAAATATTGTTTGACAAATCGAAAATATCTATCTATATTAATAAAATCAGATTTCTGTCTGTACATTGCTCCAAACTTGAAAATTTTTATATATTTTTTCGTTTTGAGACATTAGAATTCGAAAAATGTAAAAAAAAAAAATTTCTGTCTATCTGTCTGTCTGTCTATATGCAAAACTTTGTTCGCGCATCACTTGAAAACGGTTCAACCGATTAAAGTAAAACTTAGCAGTCTATTAGGTATTAACGTAACTTAAAATCATAGTCTTATCCGATTAAAAAATATTAACTTGAACGAAAGTTATGACATTTTTCCAAAAAATTCAAAAAATGCAAATTTTTTATTTTTTGTAAAATAAATGCAAAACTATCCTTAGCTAACTTTTTCGGATAAATACAACCCATTTCTACAATAAAATGTTTTAAAAAGACGTATTTTCAAATTTTTTTTCGGTTTTTTAGATCAACTTTTTTCTAAAGAAATTAAAAAAATAGTGATTTTTAATCTTTAAGCAAGCTTTACAGGAAAAGTTATTAAAGTTTTTTATTTAAAGATCAGTATGAAATTTGCTACATTAGACAAAAATAATGAAGCTGAATGCCATAAAAAAGAAAGAAAAATGTTAAATTTTAAGAAATTCAGTTTTTTTAATTTTTGCTAATTTTCTATAATTTTTGATTTTTTACCAAAGGTTGGAGACTATTAGATAAGTAAAGTATTTTTGAAGAGCACAAAAATAATGAAGCTAAATGCCATAAAAAAGAAAGAAAAATGATGAATTTTAAGAAATTCAAAATTTTCGAAATTTTGAAAATTTTGGATAATTTTGGATTTTTTACCAAAGGTTGGAGACTATTAGATAAGTAAAGTATTTTTTAAGAGCACAAAAATAATGAAGCTAAATGCCATAAAAAAGAAAGAAAAATGTTGAATTTTAAGAAATTCGGTTTTTCGAATTTTTGATAATTTTTGATTTTTTGCTAAAGGGTGGAGACTATTCAAATAGTAATATTATACTACCGAAATAGCTAATGGTAACTAATTATTAATTTTCTGGTCAAATTAAATTTCGTTTGACTGATCTAAATTATGCAAATTTTTCTCCTTTCTTTTTTTTTATCCATTTTGTACATAATTTTTATTTCTCAATAACAATATTGTTTTCAAAATGATTTTTCTCTTCAGAGAAAAAAAAATCTTACATATTCCCGTTCCTTAATATTTTTGTAGAAAATTCTAAATTTCCAGAAGAAAATAATTTGAAGGAAAAATTAAGGAAATAATTATCAATTTTGCTTTAATAAAATTCAAAGTTTTTTAAAAATAAAGGAAAAAAATGTTTATAAATTCTATTTGTCAATAATTTTAATTACTGTATCTTATTCAAAATTATTTTCTTCATTTCAATTCAATTATTATTTTCCAGAAAGTATAATTATTTTTTATGAAAATAATTGAATTCCTTAAAATAAATTAATTATTTATGAAAATAATTAAATGTTTGCGTACAATTTTATTAAAAATTTTTTTGAATAATTAAATTCTTTTTGGGAAATTTTATTAAAATAATAGATACTGAAAATCATTGAAATGAGACAAATTTTTGAAAATAATTGAAATTAGAACAAAAATTTTATTGACATTTTTGAAAATAATTGAACTTTTGGGGAAGAATTTTGTTATTTATAAAGATAATTGGGATTTTGACGAGAATTGTTTTAAATTTTTAAATATAATTGAATTTTATGAGTAGAATTTTATTATCTTTTATTATTTTATTATTTTTATTATTTAGAAAAAGAATTGAATTCTCGTAAAGAATTTTGTTCAAATTTTTGAAAATTCCCATTAATTTCTTTTTGAAGAATTTCTTTGAATTTTTTTTAAATAATGGAGTTTATTTAAAAATAATTTTAATTAAAAACTTTAAAAAATAATTGAATTTTATGAACAATTTCTTTCAAGTTTTTTAAATAATCGTGTTTGTTAATAATTGAAATTAAACATTCAATTATTGAATTTTATTAAAATTTTAGAAAATAATTGAATTCGTTCTTGAAATGCTATTAAAATTTTGTTTAAAAATAATTGAATTTTTTAAAAAAAATGTACTATTTTTAAAAATAATTTAATTCTAACGAAGAATGTTACAATTTATGAAAATAATTGAATTTATGCAAAGAAAAAAAAAGTCGATGGTCTGACTTAAAATTTACTTATACTACTAATTTTCTTATTCTAAGAGTTTAGAAAAATTGTGTCTGACTATAATTTTTTTAACCACTGATTTCTGATCTGACTAAAACTTACGTAAACTACTTATTACCTCAGTGCAGGTGTTTAAATAAACTTGTGTCTGACTTCAAATTTACTTTCACTACTGATTTTCAAAAATAGTTTCTGATCTAAGATTTCTAGGCCTTTTTAATTTAAAAAAATTTAAATTGTTAGTAGTTTAAGTAAATTTCTGTCAGACACAAGTTGTCTATACTCTTGTAATGTGGAAATTAGTAGTTCAAGTAAATTTTAGGTCAGACAAAATATTCTTATAATCTTTTTATTAAGAAATCAGTAGTTGAAGTAAATTTTGGTCAGACAACACAATTCTGTTCTGTCTGACTTGAAATTTACTTCAACTACTCATTTTCTTACTATAAGAGTTTAGAAAAATTGCGTCTGACTAAAATTTCTTCAACCACTGATTTCTTATTTAATTCAAAAAAAAGGTCTAGAAATCTTATAACAAGTGTATTAAAAAGTTGTGGCTGACTTAAAATTGACTTTAACTACTGATTTTTAAATTACAAGTGTATTAAAAAGTTGAGGCTGACTTAAAATTCATTTTAACTACTGATTTTTAAATTACAAGTGTATTAAAACGTTGGGGCTGATTTAAAATTTACTTCCACTACTTATTTTCACATTACAAGAGTTTAACAAATTTCTGTCTGACAAAAATGTACTTGAACTAAAATTATACAAAGAAAATAAATTTTGAATTAAATTTCAGAAATTCCAAAAGAATCATTGAATTTTTGAACAATTACTGTAATAATTGTTATAAGTAATTAAATTACAGTGAGTTTTAAAGTCAATCAGTGGACTGAATAATAATAATAATAAAAACATTAACTAAGGCAGTAAAAATAATAATAAAACTGACAATAATAAAATAACAATAATAATAGTAATATTTAATAATAATAAAAATAAAAATAATAGAAATGAAAATAATGCCAATAATAATTTTAGAATAAATATTAGATCATCACCTGTTGATTATAAATCCATTGTTGATTGCCTTTGCTACCATGACAAGGATAGAGAATTACGTCAGTGCCACTGTAATCCAAACACGATTCGTCCCTTCGAATTTCACCAGTCTTGCTCAACATCCAATACTGTAAAAATAAAATTATTCAATAAATAAATATTTCACTTGAATGAAATATAAAATGAAAAACAATCGATGGTTCCAGTGATTAATTGAGTATATAATAAAATAAATAGAGTGATTGTTAATATACCAAAGCGGCAATGAATGATTACGAATTTACGATGCGATAAAATGAACTTGAATGAAATTGAAGGGAATTATTTGATTTTAACTGCGATACTGTATAGTAACTTTTGTAAATTTTCGAGCTTTAAAATCTCTGTTTATAACGACTAATGCAAACACACAGTATGCTTATAAAATCGATCATTATTTTCCGTAGGCGATGATCATCATGTGACATTGAATGGCACGTTTAAAACGATGAAGCGTCAAAGCGAACCTATCGCAATAGTAATGAGCATTGAGGGTCAATAATTGAGTCCAGTGACCCTCGAAATTGCGTTGATTCTACTGACCGTTCTGGGTGTTTGTTCAATTTCAGTCAGTTTATGCTAACCTGTGCAGTTACTTGATGAATTCACACTAGACTTCGTATTATATAGGTACTACTGTTAAAATTCCATCTTCTTCAAAATTGCCTTATTCTTCGTTATTTTTTTTCTTTTTTTACTTTTTTATTATTTTTGAACCAGTTATTTTCTAATTATTAATAACTTTCTCGTACCAAAATGGTAGATTATAAATATTATAAATATATAATTATAATTATTAGAATTATTGGGTGATTCTTCTGAGGTGACTCAGAAGTCACTTTTGCTTCCCCATTGTTCCTTTTTAATAAGTTAAAAAATGTTTTTCAAATATGCTTCAAATTTTCGGACAATTAATCTTTACTATGTTTTTTTTAGTAAAATCATAATGGAATTAAATAATACCTATTATTAATTTTTTTCCATAGAAATGAAGATTTTCAAAAATTTGAAAATCAAACCTTTTTTCAATTCAACAATTTATAAGAATATTTTTATTATAAAAAATAAAGATTATTATGTGAAAGTTTAACTAAAATTCATTTTTAAATCTCTTTTTATTCGAAAATCCTACGAGAATTAAATTATTTACATTAAGAAATAAATAATTTATTGAATAATATTTGAATGTTTCTTAAAATTAAATTCTTTCAAAGAATTGTATCAACAAATTTTTAAATAATTGAATTCTGTTAACGAATTTTTAAGAAAATTTTAACATTTTTGGAGGAATACGATTTAAATTGTATTAAAAAGAATTGAAATTCTGCAATAAATTTTAATTATTTAAGAAAATAATTGTATTTCTAAAAAAAATTCATTATTTATAAAAATAATTGAATCTCTGTAAAAAAATGTATTCGTGAAAATAATTGAATTATTGCTGATAAATTTACAAAAAAAAATTGTAAATAATTGAATTCCAGTGAAATTTTTGTTATTTACGAAATTAATTAAATGTCTGAGTCAAATTTTATTAAATTTACTTTAAAATAATTTATTTCCTTTGGAAAAATTTATTAAAATAGTAAATATTGAAAAAAAATTAAAATTTTGTCAAGAATTCTATTGCAATTTTTTAAAATAATTGAATTTTCGAACCGAAAATTTTTTTGTTTTGAAAATACTCAAATTCTTGCCTATAATTTTTTTTTTGTTTTTTAATAATTATATTTCTACAAATAATTTTACTGTTCTTACAAAATAATTGAATTCTTCTGAAGAATTTTATTCCAACTTTAGAAAATAATTTAATTTCTGAGAAGAATTGTTAATTATGAAGATAATTGATTTTTTGAGAAGAATTTTAATACAATTTTTAAAAATAACTAAATTCCTGATCAAAATCTTATTATTCATAAAAATAATTGAAATATTAAGAAAAATTTTGTTATTTTATAATTGAATTCCTGTGAATAATTTCATAATTTATGAAAATAATTTAATTTTTGCGAATATTTTTAATATTTTTGAAAATAATTAAATGTCTAGGAAAAATGTTGATAATTATCAAGACAAGGAATTGAATTATTTTCAAAAACTGCAATACAGTTCTTTACAAAAAAATTAATTATTTTCATAAATAGTAAAATTCTCCTCAGGAATTTAATTATTTGAAAAAATAATAAAATTATTCGCAAAAATTCAATTATTTTTATAAATTATGAAATTATTCACAGGAATTCAATTATAATATTATAAAATAACAAAATTTTTTATAAGATTTCAATTATTTTTATGAATATTAAGATTTTGATCAGGAATTTAGTTATTTTTAAAAATTACTATAGAATTCTTTTCAAAAAAATAAATTATTTTCATAATTAATAATTCTTCACAGGAATTCAATTATTTTTTAAAGTTGCAATAAAATTCTTTAGAAGAATTCAATTATTGTGTATAAATAGTAAAATTCTTTGGAAAAATTCAATTATTTTCAATAATTGTAAAAATATTTTACTATTGAATTTAATTATTTTTATAAATAATAATATTCTTCGCAAGAATTCAATTATGTTCAAAAATAGTAAAACTTCAAGCGGGAAATTCAATTATTTTAAAAAATTTCCATTAAAAATCTTCAAAATACAATTCAATTGTTTCAATATGTAATATAATTTTTCAATAGATTTCGATTATTTTTTATAACTGTTATAAAATTTTTATCTGAAATTTAATTATTTTTAAAAGCAGGTACCTAATAAAATTTTAGTCAGAAATTCAATTATTAGTAAGAACTTTAATAAAACTTTAATTAAAATTAATTAATTAACTTTAACCAAATTTATCGCCTAAATTTTATTATTTTCCTAAATGTTTGAAGAAAATTTTTGGAATTTTACCAAGAATTTAAAAAAATTTTTGAAAATAATTGAATGTTTGAGAAGAATTTTATTATTTATAAAAATAATTTAATTCCTTTAATTTTACTATTTATGAAAATAATTCTTTTTAGAGAAGAATTTTAGGATTTAAAAAGATAATTGAAGTTTTAAACAGAATTTTTTGAACATAATTGAATTTTAGAGAAGAATTTTATTATTTATAAAGATAATTAAAATTTTAACTAGAATTTTTTTTTAATTTTTGAACATAGTTGAAGATTTTGGAGAAAAATTTTATTATTTAAAAAGATAATTGAAATTTTGACGTCAATTAAAAAAAATTTTTTTTTTTTGAACATATAATTGAATTTTTTTGAAAAATTTTATTACTTTTGAAAATAATTGAATTTTTGCAATCATTTCTAAATTCTAACTTCTCGAAAATTTAATTTTTTTAGCTTTTTTAACTATAAAATTATTTTATAAATCCATCATTTTTAATTGTAATTAAAATTATTAGAATAAAATTCTTTTATAAATTATAATAATTATGATTGTCTTTTTTAAAAAATAATTTAGTTTCAGGATTAAAATGAATTTTTTTTATGACGATGAATAATTTTCGCCGCTCGTTAAATTTTAAGTTAAACATAATGAATTGGTACATCAATCTGAATCATTGGAACCATCGTATACTGGGTAATAACAACGTGATGTGTAAATCTCATTAGATGCATAACCAAACATAAGAAGATTAAGGATAATGAGAAGCTAACTAGGAATTCGTGCAAGCATGCTACAAACAGGATAAGCATTCTCCAGCGTGTAGTCTATACCTTACATAATGCTTCTGATCGACTCTAATTACATTAACAAGCAGGATCATCAAAACAATTTCATGCAATCTCAACTTAATATTAAATGTGCCTATATCACTTTTTCATTTTTCTTTTTCTTTCACCTTTTTTTTGCATTTTTCTCTAAAAAAAAAATTGTTTTTTCCTCACCTATTTTTGCATTTTTCTCTAAAAGAAAAATTATTTTTTCCTCTAAAAAAAAAGTAGTCTAGTTTCTTTCTAAGAAAAATATGGCAATTTTTTTTTAAATATTCCCCTCGACAATTTTGTTGAGAATATACATAAAAAAATAAAGAGAGAGAAAGAGACTAGAACAGACAAATTATATTGCTTCACTGATAAGAAAAAGTGGAGAAGTTCTCGATAGGGCGAAAAAAGCAGTAAAGCGTAACTTTAAATAGACATCATTTGGAGCTTCGTCCAAAAGCGTAATTACCGTGAACTGTGACTTAATTGCGAGAATAAAATAGCTAAATTAAAGCGGGTGCTTATACGACGAGGCAGCACAAGACACGCTCGTACTGGCGCCGACTGATTGTGTTTTTGGTTGTAACCAGTTACCTTAATTACCGTTTTACGCACACACCAATACTTTTACGCGACTTCATACTAGAGTAGAGAAAATCCTTGCTCGCGTGTATTCGTAACCTTAACGACAGACCGCCAGGAACGTACGAACCATGAAGAAAATAGAGGAAGAATAAAAATGGATTCATTCGTTTAATGGGGACTACACCACATTCTCATTCGACTTTCCAACTAACAAAGTGATAGAAAGAATTCAGTAAAAAAGCGAAAACAAAGTCATTCGAATATTCTGAATTCTGATTATTCACAAAATTTTATTTATTTACTCCTATGATTAATTATCAATGTAATAGTTCAATCCTTGAATCAATTCAAAATATTTTAGGTCCCTTTTTTAGAGCTTTCTACACTGAAAGAATACTTTATTTTATTCAAATAACCGATTAATTGACTAAATTAAATATTTACTTGAATTAAATAATATTTATTGGAGTCAATTAAATGGTTCAATTCATATTTGAACCAATAATTTCAGTATTTGAAGCAAATACTATTTAATTGACAACAATAAATATTACTTGATTCAATTAAATATTTAATTAACAATTCAATAAATATTATTTGATTCAATTAAATATTTAATTAATAATAGTCAATTAATCGTAGTGATATACATTAATACGAGATTCTCAGATTAATTCCATAAATAGTAAAACACTCCTGAAGAATTCAATTATTTTCAAAAATAATAAAACTTTGCGCCGGAATTGTATTAAAAATAATTGAAATTCTGCAATGAGTTTTATTATTTATAAAAATAAT